CACACACACACACACACACACACACACACACACACACACACACACATTAACATACAAGTGGGAGAACTGACGTCATGGGGATTTTTTGTTTTTTGTTTTCTACAAAACCTAATGTGGAGGAAGTAAGGCTTTTTTCCACATATTAATTACCTTAGTTTGATAACAGTAGCGAAAAAAGACAGTAATTATTTCAGCTTTTTTGTGCCCTCTCCCCTAATAAAGTTGGTTTAGTTTTCTGATGTTTGGATAAAAAAAATCGGTAGGATTTAACATCACAAACTTTATACGATGAGTTTTATTTAGGATGTGATACAACAAATATAACTTAAAAATCTTAGCCTATTTTGAAAGATTTCAAAACAGTTAGTCACAAACCTTACCACAGTTCCGACACAGACCCATCARTTATAAAGTTGTTACCATTAAAGTAATAAGCTTATTGTAGACTTTAAGCACTCTTACCAGGAGGCTTTTTGGCCGGTATTGGTCCAAAGAGGCAGAGAAGCAGGAGCAGTCGAGTCGACATTGTGGCTGACAGGAACTGAATGCTTTCAGTGTTCGGTACAAATATTCATCTCATTTCCGGTTTTAGAAGTTTTACAGCTGCGGCCTACTATTTCCTGCCAACAGTGTTGGCAAACAGCTGTTGCGCAAACTGACATGGAGACCTCCTTTTAATGTCCAAAACAAAAAATTCAAGGTACGATCTAGATAATTGTATTCAAAACTGTTTCACTTTGTTTTTTTATTTTCTTTTATTTGTATATTCTATTGAAATATTAGAACATATTATGGAGGTGACAGACTTTCGAATAGGTTTTTGCTAAGATGTCTTTGATGATGCATCCTTTGAGTTTTGGAGCATTTTATGAGAGATGCATGGATAAGAGTCATACAATCAGACAAAACATTCCTGTGAAAATGGTCAGGCACAAAAATGGGGAAATAGACAAAAGTGAAACAAGAACTTGGAAAAAGCTTCAGCAAAAAGATGTGGCTGTGTGGTTGTGAAACAGATTATTATTGTTAGCTGCTTTCAAACTAGTATTCAGCTATAAATTCATGCCATTTAACATATCTGTTCACTATCAGATATTACTGCATTTCATAGAATCCTTAAATATGAAATATATTGTCAAACAATAGAAGAAAGAGGATGTGAAGATCAAATCTGTCATAATCCTGAGTTTTTTTTCTTTTTTTGGTGTTTTACCTTTTAAGATCTCTTGTGTTCAGTTTGTCTCCCTGTGTCACCCATCATCCCTGTTCCTCAATCAGTTTACTACACCTGTTCACTGTATTCATTAGTTTCACCCATTACCGCCTGCTCCTGGTCCTCCTCCACCCTGCCATTATGTTTGTCTCCCAGGGCCCATCCATCCATCCATCCATCCATTTTCTTCCGCCTATCCGGGGTCGGGTTGCGGGGGCAGCAGCTTCAGAAGGGAGGCCCAGACTTCCCTCTCCCCAGCCACTTGTTCCAGCTCCTCCGGGGGAACTCCAAGG